GAGAGCAACTGGGTTTTCCTATGTAGAAAGGAAAGGTCCATTTAAACTGTCCAATAAGAGAAAATACCTGGGCACGTGAGAATTAAAAGCATGAGATTAAGACCAACTCTTTACAATAAAAGGTGCAGCTGAGAGTATCTCTTTTTTTCACAGGCACAAATGGCAGATGCTGTCAATAAACCTGTACAACTCCATGGTTCCATAATGAATACAAGAGAAGCCTTTATTGTGACGACAAATATGATATGGCTTTTCTGATTTGGAAGAAGGTAGAGATTTTGGAATAGAAGGGTTGTATACCCAAGACTACATGTCACAATGCACATGGCAACAAGGGCTTTCTATGAGATTTTCACATGCTGCCATTTGCTGTTTCCCTCCCCAGCACTGTGCTCAGCACTGCTGACCAGCAGGCTCCTCTCTGCTCTCACAAAGAGGCTGCACTTCAGGAACCACCTCTAACATCAGGTGCTACCATTACTGCTAACCTTACTGCTCTCCTCTCAACATAAAACCCGGGAGAATTTCACTGTATCAGAGATGCACACTTTCTGCTCATTGCTGCAGCTCATATACCTTGGTGTACATGCAATAAACATCTTACAACTAGATGAACATTCACATAATTTCAGCTTAAGGAAAAATAACTATTTATTACCAATTTCACGTAGAATGCCATAAAATCTATTCATTTAATTTGAAAACACTACCTCTGCTGCTGGATTATCAGGAAGACTTTTCATTATCTCAAATTCCAGTCTGTGTTGAATATAATCCAGATCAGATTCTGCCTTCTGGAACTGAAACATTCAGGGTTAGCCACAATGTATTACAACCAAAACCCAAAGACCAACCTCAGCCACTTGCATACACTGTCTGTATTTCAGGAAGGCAGAAGACAACTGCCTGCATTGCAAAGGCTGATGTCTTTCCAGCCCCCCCTGCCCCTCCATGCAAACCTCTCAGGACAAAGCTGAGTCCTGCTGCAGGGGGAGCTCTCTCAGGGCACCACAACCATGCAGCTTTTTGAAACTGGTCTTCACAGCTTGCAGATGTTCCATTTGTTCTCCCCAGACACAAACATATTTACAGCAGTTTGTAAAGCTTTTTCTCAGTCAGCTGCTTTGCTTTTCAAACATTAAGAACTCTGCTAGCAAAACTGTAACACTTCATTATTTACACAGCAGAAACTAGGAAAAAAATCAGAGGAGTCGAGTGTAACAGATTTGGCTGTTAATTACATGAGGAGTTAATTCTCTCAGATGATTGTAGTGACTGTCACACATTCCATTATCCCCCACTAAAACAGACTGACAAACAGATAATACAGCTGATGACAACACATTGCTTTCCTTGGGATAAATAAGCCACCAGAGAATGATGCCACTGCCTGTATGCAGCCTGCTGACAGCATCAGTACTGCAACTGTAATCAGCAACTGTAACACCTCTGGAGACTTCAGGGGAAGGCATTCAGTGAAATCATTGGGGGGTTTTACAGTGACAGAACAGACTGATAAAAGTAAGTCAAAACTCTTGTAATTTACTTAGCTCAGTGTTGTTGTCACTAATTGTATCAAGCTTAACTCTGAAGTAATCAATACAACTTTTGTAAGGATCAAACTAAGGCTGTATTTGTGAAAGCTCCTTATTAACTACTGGGAATGCAGACAATGAATATGGATGGATTTCAACATTGTCCATGAAGATCTGTTCTTGAAATATTTCAGTATCGATCACGTGAGAACGCCAAGTGAATGATAAGCCATGAATGCTGTGCTGCTGCTGTCCCTCAGGACAGAAATGGGGACAGGAATGTGCTGTGTATCCATCCTGCAGCCCTGGCTTCACCCTTTGTGCTCAATGAAAACACGAGCGCAGGATCAGCATTCCTGCTTTCTCCTGAAACTATGCTAACTACAGAAGAGACAAAGGTTGCTATCAGCAATTTCAGAACATTTTTATAGGCCCAAGGATGTATTATCATCCACCTGCCTTTAGTTTATAACCGTTTATTTCTTGTAGTATTTATGTGACCATACACCTCCAAAACCCCAAGTGAAGGTTATGGGCTGTGCCCACCTGTATGACGAGTTCTGCACAGCAGTCACGTGGGAAATGCAGTTTCTGAGACATAGATGTGTAACTTACTCACAGGCTGAGAGGAAAGCAATACAAGTGGAGGCACCACGCACGCCATCGCTGCACGCTCTGCTTTCAGATGCTTTGACAATACTATTGCACTGCTAGCTGTGAAGTACAGTAGTGCAATAAAGTCAGAGCATTCGTTAGCAGCAATAATTCTCAACAAGCCAATACACCCAAAATATGTGTTGGAAAGAAGAAAGTTGAACCAGGTGGTGCTTGCTGTGGGTCGTGGACATTGGGTAAGGGAATTCACCAAATCCAATTTGAGAGTTGTTTTTCCAATCACCTCCAGTCTCAGACACAACAGCACTTATGGATGCAGCTCCATAGCAGGGAGCACTGCAGACAGCACTGCTGGCCAATGCCCTTTTAACATTGCACTGCTTTGTGTATGATCACTAGTAGTACAACATAAAAAGGGCGCTGGACAGACACCGCTCAGAGGAACAGGCAGGCTCACCCCTCTACCAATGGTAGCAGAAACCAAGTGAAAGGCTCTGAGTGCAGCACCTGCCCACTTCTCTACTTCTGCTAATTGTACTAAATGGACGTGTGCAGAATTTAAGTTCCTTTCAGTGCAGACTGCTGAAGTACGCACTGAAAAGCACTGCGAGTGAGTCAGCTTTACAGTTTCTTGCATAATAAATCTCACACTGTAAATGTTGTGGTTCATTCAACTCTTCGTGTTACTGTGCTTGAGTGCTGGGCTCCATTAACTGGAGGTGACCATTCACACTGCTTTGTAAGCTCCTACAAGATGGTTTATCCCTGGTTCCAAGAGGCTGAGGCGAAGCTCTGCACAAAACGTGTGTCAGAACCCCTGGGGAAATAAGAAGTGTTATTTCACCACACTTCTGTGGGGAGAGCCAACCTCATGGAAGGAAGAAGCAACAAGCGGAAGGGAAAGCAAGAAGTATCAGTGAACACAGAGGCCACTGTATATACATAAACTTATTGACAAAGAGTTATTACATTTCTGTAAGAAGTTTACATACAGGAAATCAGTTTCCAAATGGATTCCCCAAATGATTTTGGATAAAGACCCGGCTATAATCTCAAAACCACTATCATCCACTCTGTGTCCCTTCAGCGATGTTACTGCGTTATGATAAGAATTAAGAGACTATTATACTCGTTTTTCCTTTTCTTTAATTAGGAATTGAAACCAGTGCTATCAGAATTGGGGAACAGCAGGCAGGAATGGGCTGTGCTGCTTCTCTGTGTTTGTCTCTGCACTGAGATGTCCTTCTGCCATTCATGTGGAGCACCTTTCTGCTTTGTAGGTGCCTAATGCACAATTTCATAATAATTTTATGATAATTTATAATAACTATAAATGTTTGGGATTCCAAGAATTCCTGGAAGTTTCCACACAGAGAAAAGACACAAAGGAGTGCCGTGCTTGACAAGCAATTCCAATGAGAGCACTTAACTCGTGTAAGGAATGAAATGATCTCATTAAGCATCTACACGCATAAAATATTCCCAAAGGGCTTCAGATAGAGGAGAAAAAAAAACAAAAAAACCAAACGAGCTATGCATGTCACAAAACGACATGAAACAGAGCCAAAAAAAAAAAAAAAAAAGGTTTGGACACGAAAGTCGCCACAGAGAACTGCGGCTGAAGGGCTCGGCAGCCCTGAGGGTGTGAGAGGACACAGCACCGCCTTCCTTCGCTCTTCAACTTTCTTCCCGCTGCCGGAGGACGGGCAGCGTTACATAACGGCGCTGCGCCGCCGGGCCGCCTGAGAGCAGCGGAGCGCGGTGAGGGCCGGGACCGCAAGGCCGGGCGAGAAGCGGAGCCGAGGGGAGGCCGGGGCGCGGCGCCGCCTCAGCGCTGGGCGGGAAACCGCCGCCCCGCTCCCCCCTACGGCTGTGCGCGCCGATGGGAGCGGCCGTCCGGCCTCCACCCGTCGGCCCAGGTGTGAGCTGCGCCCCCCCACCGCTGACTGAAAATGGATTCGTCCGAGCGCGCCGCGCTCCACGCCCCCCCAACCCCTCCTCACGGGGCGGCGGGGAAATGGAGCGGCGCGGCCCAATCCCTCCGCGGGGCCTCCAACGGGCGGTGGTGCGGAGCGGATCGGAGCGCGGCTCCCCCCAGGTAGAGGGGAGTGGCGAGGCCCGGCCGCGGCGCTCAGGGCGGAACGGAGCGGCGCGGGGAACCCCGCCCCCCCGGGGTGTGGGGGGGCGGCGAACAGAACGGACCGGCCGAACCCGCCCGGGCCGGCGGCGGGCGGCGGCCGCCCCCTGAGGGCCGCGCCCCCGGCCTGCCCCTCCCGCGGGCTCCGCTCGGGGCCCGGCTCCGCTTGGCGGACCGCCGCTCTCCACCCTCGCGCCCCCGGCCGCGCCCGCGGCCCCTTCGCTCCCCTGGGCCGCGGCCCCGGAACTCTCCGAGCTGCGGCCGCCGCCCCCCGGCCCCGGCCCCGCCGCCTCCCGCGCTCACCATAGTCTCGAGCCTGGTAACCGCCGTCTCCATGTTGAATAGTTGACATTCCTCAGGCGGCGGCGGGGAGATGCCCACCCCCCGCCCCGCGGGGTGGGAGAGCCGGAGGCTCCGATTGGGCAGCTGTCACTCGGAGTTCCCTTCCCATTGGCTCGCGGCTGACAGAGGGCGCTCGCTATTGGGCGGGAAGGAATGTAAACCCGCTCTGAGGTAGAGGAGAGGCTATTGGTTGGTGGAAAGGCTGCAGGCGGTGAGTGGTTGGGGGAGGGAAGTCCGCGAGCCGCCATTGGGACAGAGTGGAATCCGGCTGCGATTGGATGGAGAAGAGGGTACTAGGCTGCTATTGGCGAGAAAGGGGAGCTCTGTGAGCTGCAGCCTATCGCAGCGCGGCGAGGGCGCGCCTTGATCCAATGGCGGAACGGAGCAGCGCCTGGCCCACGATTGGCCCTTTCTCCTCTCCCGTCGAGCTCGGGCCCGGTGGCCAATCAACGCGCGGCTGGCGGGGGCCGCGGGTGGAGGCGGCGGAGAACGGCGATGCCATTGGCTGCGCGCGGCGCGAGGAGCGGTTTGAATCGGCGGCGCCGGGCAGGAGGTGAGCGGACTGAGGGGAGTTGGGGGGGGGTTGTGCTGACAGACCACGCGGTAACGGACCGCCGGGCCTGGGGCCGCACCCGGCGGTCTGCAGGAGCGGGATGTCCCGCTGTGTGCCGTCACAGCGCCGTGAGAGGCGGCTGCGCCGTGTGTCAGCTGGGAGCGGCTCCGGTTGGGGCCGCGTTAACGGCTACCCCCTCCTTTACGGCAGCGATGGTGAAGCACAAACGGCGCCGCCGACGGCCGAGAGGCAAAACCAAAGCCGCCCCGCGGTCACAGCGCCTGGCGCCTCCTTGCGATTGCGGCGCTGCCGTCCGCCCCGCCTCGGCTCACCTTCCTCCGGTCGCTGCTGCAGCCCGGCCATCGCTCTGCCCGCTGCCTTTGCCCGCTGTGACACACGTGGTTCAGCCTTTGGCTGCGGTCGCGTCGCTGCTGTTGTGCTGGTGCCGCAGCGCCGTCGCACAGGTACGGTCCTCTGCTTCGTTGTGCTGCCCGCCCAGCTGCGGGGCTGAGCCGTAAGTACAGCCGTGTCCATTGCGGCACCTGAAGTACGGCTGTGTTGGATGCTGAAGGAAGGGAGCCTTAAACAGGAGGGGAGTCGACTCTTGGAAAGGGCGAATAACAGCAGGACAAGGGGAAATGGTTTGAAGTTGAGGGAGGGAAGATTGAGGTTGGATGTCAGGGGGAAGTTCTTCACGGAGAGAGTGGTGAGGTGCTGGAATAGCTGCCCAGAGAGGCTGCGGATGCCCCGTCCATCCCTGGAGGTGTTCAAGGCCAGGTTGGATGGGGCCCTGGGCAGCCTGGGCTGGTATGAAATGTGGAGGCTGGTGATCCTGCCTGCAGCAGGGGTTTGGAGCTTCATGATCCTTGAGGTCCCTTCAACCCGGACCATTCTGTGATTCTGTAACATCTTCAAATACCTGAAAGATTTATGTTAAATGTGTGAAATGGAGCTTTTGTATTGCAGCATCAAGAGGATTTGCAATGTCTGAAGGCACTGCCTTTCTTTAGTAACAGAGATGACTGCTCACATTTTATGTGAATCAAGCTTTAGAATTCATAAACGGAGTGAGAAGGTCTGTTTGAGAAAATCACTCCTTGGGTTCCTGCTGTTTGGTGAAACTGTGTATCTTAATGCTGTGTGTTCTGCTGGCCTCGGTGAGAACTTTGCGCTGGAACTGCCGACAGTGATCAGAGCTCTCTGGAAATGCAACTTAGTGAAAATATTCATGCGGTTTCTCTTTATTTCTAGAGTTTCACGGTGGTTAAAGAGGTGATATTTCCATCACAAGTCTACTTAAGGGAGCTAAGTGCATTCAAAGAGCAGCTGGAAAAGCTGGAAACTGAATTTTCTAGACTACAAGGAATACTGCAGGTCAGTCTCAATCCCAGTGGGGCAGGGTGGTGGTTTTTTGTGTCAGTGAGGAGGAAATCAGGATTTCACTGCAGAGTGTTTCATCTCTCCGCATACAGCATTGCTAAGCTGCAGTTACTTAATGGCAAAATGGAGCTGGTTGTCCAGTGAGACCTCCTACCTCTTTCTGGATCAACTGAAGCCAGAATCTCCTTTCTCAAAAAATTGCATATGCTTTTAGCTGTGGCTTTAATATTCTTTTATTTCTGTTGTTTTCAGAAGAGTGGAATTACGACTTTGTCTGCAGAAAGCTCTCACTGTCAGAGGTGCAGTAAAACAGTTCTGGGTGCTCCTGTAGAAGTGCAGCCAAACCCTCCATCATCAGTTCCTGGGCCTCCTGCAGTGCAGCTGCAGCCTACAGCTGTGCCGCCTCCTCCTCTTCCTCCTCCTCCTCCTCCTCCTCCCCCTCCACCTCTGCCACCACCAAAACTGCCTGCAGCACCTCTCCTCCTCAAACGTGGCAACGGCTCTAAAGCACTGCTGGTAAGGATTGAGGTGATTCTTCTACTCATGGCTGAGTTCTTTTGTGGGTTCATTGGGAACAAATCTTTGTGAACGAGCAGCCCCTTGCTGATCCTCATCTCCCTTCCAACCATGTTTTGTTCTTAGGAGCCATCGGTAAAAAAAGATGCACCGATGCACATCACTCTCAAAGATCTCCTGAATGTAAAGCTAAGGAAGACAGACAGCAGCCTGAAAACAAACAAGGTGAACCAGAGGACATGTGGATAATGGTGCACTGGGGCCAACTGTGCTTGTTTTGCAGTTTTTTTGCAGTGCTTGTTTTGGCCCCTCAGAGAATTCTTCAAGAAATTAACTATTTCAAAATCTCAGTGATCAGCTCTAAGGAATCCTAATTGTGTGTGTTGGCACTGGAAATGAACAAATTAAATGACTAGTGCCAATGTCAGCTCCCGTGCAGCACAGCTCTTCTGATTTTAGATGAAGGGCTTTACAGTATCAATATATTTTGCAGTTTCTGGAGGTCTTGTTTGCACTTGTTTGTTTTTAAACAAATAGAAGTTTATCCAAGACAAATTAAAATCATCATTCAAAAATGCATGAAAGCCATAAATCACTGAAATCTTTCAGGATGTGAATCTGAAATGGATCTGTGATCAGTGAGGCCTTCTAAAGTTTATCTGTGGTAACATTATTTTCTGTCTTCAGGCAGGATCCCCAGAGAGGACACGCAGGGCATTGATTACAGTCTCTGATTTACAGAGTGTTAATCTGAGATCCAAATCCAAGCCATCAGCTCACATTACAAGCTCCTTAACGTAAGATGCTTTCATTCTTTCTTCAGTATTACATTCTGCCCTTCAAAATACATCTTTCTGTTCAGAACAATGATGAACACTTTACACAGTGGAAGCAGTTTCATTTAAACCTGTTTGTTTTGTTTTCTTACAATAGAACCCCACCTAAAAACCAGTTAGATCTTCGGAAACATCTTAAGAAAGTCAATATACAAAGGTAAGCTGCACTCTGTTCTCTTGCTTTGTTATTCTAAATAAAATCAGAGAACTAATCCCAATTGCCCTCATTTCCAACCTTTTCAGAAGTCCTGGTGGCACTCCACTAAATAAAGAAAACACTGAATGTGGGACTGGGCTGACACCCATTATGACACAGGCACTGCGGCGCAAATTCCAGGCAAGTCACGATGTCTGTCTTTTTGGAACGAGGAGCTGGCTTTAAAATCCATGCAGTTTCATATGGATTTTTTTCCTGCAGTGCAGTGGTATCAGTGCCCAGTCCATAACTATCGCCCCAGCGTGCTCATTGCCCACAGATAAAGGTGTTTGTTCTATCACTCCCATTTTATTGGTGAGGAAACTGCAGAAGGCGAGTGGTGTTGCCCCTCTTCCAGCAGGCGATCTGAACTGGCTAAGGACAAAAATGGCTTTCTTTATCACCATTCCAGTATTGTCAGCACTATCTCTAAGATCAGAGATCTATCTGGGTACCAGGAGAACAGAACCTGAGGATTCATCATAACTTCTACCTTAAGGATTGGCAGCATCTGTTCTCTTTTATGAAACATCAGTTAAGAATCGCATTTTGTCTCAGTAGCAATTAGTACCAAGCTCACATCCCAAGGTCTGACCCAGCTCTTGTGTTAACAGATGGCACATCCGAAGAGCCCCTCACCGGCCCGGCTGAGCGCTGCCAGCACCTTTGATGAGCACAAGTAAGGTTTACACAGCAATGTGTTTTCATTAATGGTCAGGGAGCTCATTGGATCACATTTTAATGTCACTGAGGCACAGTGAATGTGTGTGAGCGCATTTAGGAAGGGGGCATTCTGAAAACACTTTATCCAAAGTTTGCCCTTTTTAAAGGCAACGTCTTTCCACTGTGTCTCAATCTGGTTTTGTATTTTGTAAGACAAAATGAGGTTTTCTCAGTATTTTAATACCTGGCTGCTGCTGAAACAGGGACTGTTGTTCCTGGTGCTGATTCTGCTTGTAATATACGTGTGTTTGTTTATGGAAATTCAGTATTTTTTATAACAAGACTGATCTTGACAGCAATTGCACAAATTCCAAGCAAAGCAGCAGTTATGCCCTCTGGTGCTCCTGAAGTGAACGTTTACAGTCTTCCACAAACAATTACATGGTTAAAAGCACATGAGACAACTGCAATAGGTATCGCTTTGGGGCCAGATGAGGTCACCTCTGCTATTAAAGGCTGCACTGCTTGGAGGCGGGCAGCTGAACGCTCCCAGGGCACAGCAACGGAGCTCACTGCCCAGCGTGGACACGGCGTGGCCTTGGGACAGAGCCCTGCTTTACAAGGACTGGGTTTCAGCCGCACTCGGGCCGCTTTCCCAGAGCTTGGCCATGCATCTTGCATGGCTTCTGCCACTGGAGCATCATCCCAGAGCTTCGTGGGAGGAGGAAGAGCAGCGGGGCCGTCCTGGGATCGGGGATGCTCTGCAGGCAGTTCTGAGACCACCCTATGATGAAGCGCTGCCTGACACTCCGCTCCTGCACTGCTTGTGGAATAAACTCAGCTCGTTTCAAACCGACTGAACGCGCGTTAAGCTGAGCTCAATGCCCCCGCCGTCACCGCGGCTCGTTGCTCAATACGCGCGCTTCAATCGCCGCGCGTTCAATGCTCGCAGTGCCCGGGGCGGGGCGGCGCAGGCGCGGCGTTGGCGCAGGCGCGGGGCCGGGCGGAGCGATGGCGGGGCAAATCGCGGGGCCGATGGCGGGGCCGGGAGGAGCGATGGCGGGGCCGGTGAGCCTGCGGGAGCTGCTGTTGGCTGGCAGCGAGGCGAGCGGAGCGGCGGCGGGGCCGGGCGCGGCGGCGGCTCCAGGAGAGGAGGAGGTGTGCGTGGTGGGCATCTTCGGCAAAACCGCGCTGCAGCTGTGCTCGGAGAAAGCGGCCCTGGTGAGCACCGTGTGCGACCGGCAGGTGTTTCCCCTCTTCGAGAGGGAGGAGGCCGAGGAGGCGGGAGGCGGCGCGGGGAGGGAGGGCGAGGCGGCCGGCAGGGACTACAACCATCTGCAGGCGTACTACAGCCAGGAGAGCCGCGTGCTGTACCTGGTGCTCACCTCCATCTGCGATACGCCGCAGCTGCTGCGGGCGTGCGGGGACCTGGCGGCGGCCGAGAGCCGGGAGAACGGCCCCGGGGTGCCGCTGCCCCACGCCGAAGCGCACGAGTTCTGGAAGCACCAGGAGAAACTGCACTGCCTCAGCCTCCTCTATCTCTTCTCCGTGTGCCACATCCTGCTGTTGGTGCACCCCACCTGCTCCTTCGACATCACCTACGACCGCGTCTTCAGGGCGCTGGATGGGCTGCGGCAGAAGGTGCTGCCCTCCCTGAAGGCTGCCATCAAGGACTGCCCCGTGGGCAAGGAGTGGAAGCTGAACTGCAGGCCCTGCCCGCCGCGCCTGCTTTTCCTCTTCCAGCTCAACGGGGCCCTGAAGGTGGATCCCCCCCCGGGCAGGGGCCAGGACCCCTGCGGCCACCTGGAAAAGCCCCCCCCCCAAGAAGCACTCCCCCAAGAGGAGGCTGCAGCACGCCCTGGAGGACCAGATCTACCGTATCTTCCGCAAGAGCAGGGTGCTGACCAACCAGAGCATCAACTGCCTGTTCACCGTGCCTGCTAACCAGGCCTTTGTGTACATCGTGGCCGGAGGGGCGCAGGACGGGGAGGATCCCGTGGCCATGCTTCTCGATCAGCTCAGGAGCAACTGCACCATGAGGGAGACGGACTCCCTGCTGGCTCCCACCCTGTCGGGACCCCGGAGGTACCAGATGATGCGTCATGGCAGGCAGCAGCTCTCCTTCTATGCAGAAAGCAGCAGCAGCAGCTCCAGTTCCTCAGGGCAGCTGGTGGACTGTACCCTGAAGGAGTTCTTGTGGCAGCATGTGGAGCTGGTGCTCAGCAAGAAGGGCTTCGATGACAGCGTGGGGAGGAACCCGCAGCCCTCTCACTTTGAGCTCCCGACCTACCAGAAGTGGGTTGCTGCAGCTCTAAAGCTGTACGAAGTGACCATCGAAGGCAAAGATGACGACCCGACTTCACTCACTGGTGAACTGAGCTCAAAAATCATGAGCAGCATCAAAGTTCTGGAAGGCTATTTAGATATAGACACCAAGTTCTCCGAAAACCGTTGCCAGAAAGCCCTTCCCATGGCCCACAGTGCCTATCAGTCCAACCTGCCCCACAATTACACCATGACAGTCCATAAGAACCAGCTGGCCCAGGCCTTGCGAGTGTACAGCCAGCACGCCCGCGGCCCGGCCTTCCATAAGTATGCCATGCAGCTGAATGAGGACTGCTACAAGTTCTGGAGCAACGGGCACCAGCTTTGTGAGGAACGAAGTTTAACTGACCAGCACTGCGTGCACAAGTTTCATTTGCTCCCCAAAGCAGGTAAAGAAACTCATTTGTGATTGTTTCTCTCTGCTTAATTTTGTACCTCTTTTAAAATGCCTTTAGCTTCAGTGACCAGTTTGGGCCCTGTGTTCTGAGCAGTGTGTTGCAGATAGTGGGAGCACACACAGTGCGATTGCAATGCACAGGACCAGGGTATAGAAGGAACTATAGGTGGTAAGGCCTTGTTTCATGCTGTCAGTGTCACATAGGCATTCTCACTCTCAACTATTCTCACGTCCTTATGCCTTTGCGTCCTCTGAATTCTATTTAAAACAGACACCACGGCTCCACTCACATGAAGTAAAGTTTAGGAGCAAGCCTGCTCAGTGATAACTTTGATTGTGCGTTGCTAATTGGAGGTGTTAAACTTGAGCTCTTCTAACAAGAGATACAGGGGATAAAAAAGTTCTTTGCCCTCTGCCTCCTTTTACCCAGCTTGACTGAGTGCAATCAAGGGATGGAAACTGAGATATAAGTGTTGCAGGCAGAAGAACTACTTATGTCTTGTAAGAAGCTTCTAAAAGCAAAGACAGTACAGTTTAGAGGTGTAATCTACACTGGAATTTTGTATACAAGAGGGGAAAGAGAAAAGGAGTTACTGGTTTTGTTAGGTAAATAGCAAGGAAGAGAATCAAAGAGTCTCTAGAAATAGGGAGCGTTTTATCTGATTGGTTTTGCTTCTAGGGGAAAAGCCAGAAGCAGACAGAAATCCCCCAATCCTGTACCACAACAGCCGGGCTCGTTCCACTGGTGCCTGTAACTGTGGAAGAAAACAAGCTCCTCGTGATGACCCCTTTGACATCAAAGCAGCTAATTACGACTTCTACCAGGTAATTATTGAGTCTCTATTTTTGCTTCACGGGGTGTTTTTGCATCATCAACACAGTCTGTTTTCGGAAAGGACCACAAATCAATGTCCTCTTAACCTTATCAACCTGTAAATGTTGCTTAGGGAAAACGTGCCTGGAAGCACGATGGGCTGAGGGGGCAATTAAAGTCTTCTCCACTGCATGCTAATTGCTAAATCCATCCTGCTCAGACTGTCCTCCATTTGCTGTTTTGATTCTCACATAGCACAGATCTCTTGAGCCTGAATTGTACCTTCTGAACGGTCTGGCTGAACTCTCCCGTGCCAGTGACAAGTTGGAAAGTTAACCACGTTTTGTTTTTCGTAGCTGCTGGAAGAAAAATGCTGCGGGAAACTGGAGCACATCAATTTTCCCATATTTCAGCCAAGCACACCTGATCCAGCACCTGCAAGGGATGAGGCATCGCCTGCCCCTCCAGAGGGTGAAATTGAGAAACTTAAAGAGAAAGAACCTCAGACTCAGGGCGAAAGCACAGGTCTGAGCTTAGCCCTCAGCCTGGGTCAGTCAACGGGCAGCTTGGGCACTTACCCACCAGATGCCCAGGGAGGAGGGGACAATGCAGAAGGTCAGGGGCAGAGTGGGGAATCCAAAAGCGAGAAAAGGCCGAGCCTGGTGGATCGCCAGGCATCCACTGTCGAGTACCTCCCTGGGATGCTCCATTCCAATTGCCCCAAAGGCCTTCTGCCAAAGTTCTCCAGTTGGTCACTGGTTAAGCTGGGGCCTGCTAAGGCTTATAACTTCCACACAGGCCTGGACCAGCAAGGCTTCATCCCAGGAACAAACTACTTAATGCCTTGGGATATTGTCATCAGGACAAGAGCTGAGGACGAAGGAGACTTAGATACCAATTCCTGGCCCGCTCCTAACAAGGCTATTCCTGCCAAAAGAAGTGCAGTGGTGATGGGAAGAGGAAGACGGAGAGATGACATAGCTCGAGCTTTTGTAGGGTTTGAATATGAAGATGCACGTGGAAGGAGGTTCATGTGTTCAGGGCCTGATAAGGTCATGAAAGTGATGGGAGGGGGGCCGAAGGAGTCCGCCATCAAAGCCCTCAATTCTGACATGCCGCTCTACATCCTGTCCTCGACTCAGGGGCGGGGACTCAAGCCCCATTATGCTCAGTTCATGAGACTTTTTGTGGTGGTTCCCGATGCTCCGCTGCAAATAACACTGACACCTCAGGTAAGAAATGGAATCTGTTACCTGTAGAGCAAAGGTTGAGTGCTGAAGCATAAATTGCAGGGCCAGAGGGCACAAAGTGGGAGCCAGAGGGTGCTGGGGATTTTTCCCTGAGTTGGAAAAGTTCCTTAATGCTGACAATGGAACTCACTTCTATGATGGGATACATTTAACTACTCACATAGGAACCTGTTTCTGTTAGAAGTTAAGGAAGGGTGCTAATTGAGACTTGACTCAACACCAGAATTCCAGCAGTAATATAAAAGCATGCAGTTTAGCTTAGTGGATACTTAATTATGTTCTTGTCCTCCTGTCTCACTCATTTCTGATGTTTTTGTGAAAGCCACCAGACTCCACAGGGAGCATTTCAAGTTTATCCTTTTAGAGGAAGGTGGAATGAAGTGGAAGCAAGGAGATGCAGTAAGCGATGTGTCAGCTTTGAAACTCAGGCAAGAACTGAAGGCTCTGATTCTGCTGGCACCATTTTGTTGCTTATTCCCAGCTTGCATCCATATGATACCTTATAACTTCTAAAAGTGTAAAAATATTTGGAAAATTTGCTATGCTATGCATTGTAAGTTCCATGCATCAGTTCCTCGTGTGAATAAGGCTTTCTCAGTTTTCTAATATAGCTATAGATGACCTAGAGTAAGTGCTGCTGACATCCTTCACTTGGCTTTCAGTAACAGCACAGGTGTCTCTGTGCCACAGCATTGAAGTCCCATTAATGTGGTGATTAGTGCTGCCTGGAGGGAGGTGGGCTTGTGGTTTATTGAGAGCTGCAGCCTTAAATCCAGCATCTTGCCTATGGTGGAAGCCTATGGATGGCTCACAGAAGTGAGGCACAGTGGTTTCCTGCAGCCTGCTCAAGTGGATGAGATCCTGACTGTAGGCAAGATCAGTAGACTTCCTTGGATTCATTTGGCTCTTAAGTCTTCATTTTTCACGCAGAGGAACAGGTTGCCCAAGGAGGCTGTGGATGCCACATCCCTGGAGGCATTCAAGGCCAGGCTGGATGTGGCTGTGGGCAGCCTGGTCTGCTGGTTGGTGACCCTGCACACAGCAGGAGGTTGGAACCAGATAATCGTTGG